AAGACGAAAAAGTACCAAAAAGTCCCCTTTTATAGATTCTCATTTACTAAGGGCTCTACATGCTTAATTTCATGTTTCTAGGTTAAATTTTATAGAAAACTCAAAAAAAGTCCCCTTTTATAGATTCTCATTTACTAAGGGCTCTACATGCTTAATTTCATGTTTCTAGGTTAAATTTTATAGAAAACTCAAAAAGTACCAGTCGAAGGACGAAAAAGTACCAAAAAGTCCCCTTTTATAGATTCTCATTTACTAAGGGCTCTACATGCTTAATTTCATGTTTCTAGGTTAAATTTTATAGAAAACTCAAGAAGTACCAGTCGAAGGACGAAAAAGTACCAAAAAGTCCCCTATTATAGATTCTCATTTACTCTGGGCTCTACATGCTTAATTTCATGTTTCTAGGTTAAATTTTATAGAAAACTCAAAAAGTACCAGTCGAAAGACGAAAAAGTTCCAAAAAGTCCCCTTTTATAGATTCTCATTTACTCCGGGCTCTACATGCTTAATTTCATGTTTCTAGGTTAAATTTTATAGAAAACTCAAAAAGTATCAGTCGAAAGACGAAAAAGTACCAAAAAGTCCTCTTTTATAGATTCTCATTTATTAAGGGCTCTACATGCTTAATTTCATGTTTCTAGGTTAAATTTTATAGAAAACTCAAAAAGTACAAGTCGAAGGACGAAAAAGTACCAAAAAGTCCCCTTTTATAGATTCTCATTTACTAAGGCCTCCGCATGCTTAATTTCATGTTTCTAGGTTAAATTTTATAGAAAACTCAAAAAGTACCAGTCGAAGGACGAAAAAGTACCAAAAAGTCACCTATTATAGATTCTCATTTACTCCGGGCTCTACATGCTTAATTTCATGTTTCTAGGTTAAATTTTATAGTTTCTCACTTAATCCAGGCTCTACATGCATACTTTCATGTTTCTATTTTCAATATTATAGAAAATTCATAAAGTACCTTTTGAAGAACGAAAATGTACCAAAAAGTTCCCTTTTATAGATTCTCATTTACTACGGGCTCTAAATGCTTATTTTCATGTTTCTAGGTTCAATTTAATAGAAAACTCAAAAAGTACCAGTCGAAGGACGAAAAAGTACCAAAAAGTCCCCTTTTATAGATTCTCATTTACTCCGGGCTCTACATGCTTAATTTCATGTTTCTAGGTTAAATTTTATAGAAAACTCAAAAAGTACCAGTCGAAAGACGAAAAAGTACCAAAAAGTCCCCTTTTATAGATTCTCATTTACTAAGGGCTCTACATGCTTAATTTCATGTTTCTATGTTAAATTTTATAGAAAACTCAAAAAGTACAAGTCGAAGGACGAAAAAGTACCAAAAAGTCCCCTTTTATAGATTCTCACTTACTAAGGGCTCTACATGCTTTGTTTCATGTTTCTAGGTTAAATTTTATAGAAAACTCAAAAAGTACCAGTCGAAAGTTGAAAAAGTACCAAAAAGTCCCCTTTTATAGATTCTCATTTACTAAGGGCTCTACATGCTTAATTTCATGTTTCTAGGTTAAATTTTATAGAAAACTCAAAAAGTACAAGTCGAAGGACGAAAAAGTACCAAAAAGTCCCCTTTTATAGATTCTCACTTACTAAGGGCTCTACATGCTTTGTTTCATGTTTCTAGGTTAAATTTTATAGAAAACTCAAAAAGTACCAGTCGAAAGTTGAAAAAGTACCAAAAAGTCCCCTTTTATAGATTCTCATTTACTAAGAGCTCTACATGCTTAATTTCATGTTTCTAGGTTAAATTTTATAGAAAACTCAAAAAGTACCAGTCGAAAGACGAAAAAGTACAAAATAGTCCCCTTTTATAGATTCTCATTTACTAAGGGCTCTACATGCTTAATTTTATGTTTCTAGGTTAAATTTTATAGAAAACTCAAAAAGTACCAGTCGAAGGACGAAAAAGTTCAAAATAGTCCCCTTTTATAGATTCTCATTTACTAAGGGCTCTACATGCTTTGTTTCATGTTTCTAGGTTAAATTTTATAGAAAACTCAAAAAGTACCAGTCGAAGGACGAAAAAGTACCAAAAAGTCCCCTTTTATAGATTCTCATTTACTCCAGGCTCTACATGCTTAATTTCATGTTTCTAGGTTAAATTTTATAGAAAACTCAAAAAGTACCAGTCGAAAGACGAAAAAGTTCCAAAAAGTCCCCTTTTATAGATTCTCATTTACTCCGGGCGCTACATGCTTAATTTCATGTTTCTAGGTTAAATTTTATAGAAAACTCAAAAAGTATCAGTCGAAAGACGAAAAAGTACCAAAAAGTCCTCTTTTATAGATTCTCATTTACTAAGGGCTCTACATGCTTAATTTCATGTTTCTAGGTTAAATTTTATAGAAAACTCAAAAAGTACCAGTCGAAGGGCGAAAAAGTACCAAAAAGTCCCCTTTTATAGATTCTCATTTACTAAGAGCTCTACATGCTTAATTTCATGTTTCTAGGTTAAATTTTATAGAAAACTCAAAAAGTACCAGTCGAAAGACGAAAAAGTACAAAATAGTCCCCTTTTATAGATTCTCATTTACTAAGGGCTCTACATGCTTAATTTTATGTTTCTAGGTTAAATTTTATAGAAAACTCAAAAAGTACCAGTCGAAGGACGAAAAAGTTCAAAATTAGTCCCCTTTTATAGATTCTCATTAACTAAGGCCTCCGCATGCTTAATTTCATGTTTCTAGGTTAAATTTTATAGAAAACTCAAAAAGTAGCAGTCGAAGGACGAAAAAGTACCAAAAAGTCCCTTATTATAGATTCTCATTTACTCTGGGCTCTACATGCTTAATTTCATGTTTCTAGGTTAAATTTTATAGAAAACTCAAAAAGTAGCAGTCGAAGGACGAAAAAGTACCAAAAAGTCCCCTATTATAGATTCTCATTTACTCTGGGCTCTACATGCTTAAATTCATGTTTCTAGGTTAAATTTTATAGAAAACTCAAAAAGTGCCAGTCGAAAGACGAAAAAGTTCCAAAAAGTCCCCTTTTATAGATTCTCATTTACTAAGGGCTCTACATGCTTAATTTCATGTTTCTAGGTTAAATTTTATAGAAAACTCAAAAAGTACCAGTCGAAAGACGAAAAAGTACCAAAAAGTCCCCTTTTGTAGATTCTCATTTACTAAGGGCTCTACATGCTTAATTTTATGTTTCTAGGTTAAATTTTATAGAAAACTCAAAAAGTACCAGTCGAAGGACGAAAAAGTACCAAAAAGTCCCCTTTTATAGATTCTCACTAAGGGCTCTACATGCTTAGTTTCATGTTTCTAGGTTAAATTTTATAGAAAACTCAAAAAGTACCAGTCGAAAGACGAAAAAGTACCAAAAAGTCCCCTTTTATAGATTCTCATTTACTAAGGGCTCTACATGCTTAATTTTATGTTTCTAGGTTAAATTTTATAGAAAACTCAAAAAGTACCAGTCGAAGGACGAAAAAGTACCAAAAAGTCCCCTTTTATAGATTCTCATTAACTAAGGCCTCCGCATGCTTAATTTCATGTTTCTAGGTTAAATTTTATAGAAAACTCAAAAAGTACCAGTCGAAGGACGAAAAAGTACCAAAAAGTCCCCTTTTATAGATTCTCATTTACTCCGGGCTCTACATGCTTAATTTCATGTTTCTAGGTTAAATTTTATAGAAAACTCAAAAAGTACCAGTCGAAGGACGAAAAAGTACCAAAAAGTCCCCTTTTATAGATTCTCATTTACTCCGGTCTCTACATGTTTCATTTCATGTTTCTAGGTTCAATATTATAGAAAATTCAAAAAGTACCTTTTGAAGAACGAAAAAGTACCAAAAAGTCCCATTTTATAGATTCTCATTTACTCCGAGCTCTACATGCTTAATTTCATGTTTCTAGGTTTAATTTTAAAGAAAACTCAAAAAAGTACCTGTGTAGAACGGAAAAGTAGCGAAAAGTCCTTTTTTTATTTATTTCATGTTTCTATTTCAATATCATAGAAAACTCAAAAAGGACCAGTTGGAGAATGAAAAGTACCAAAAAATATCACCTGATACCGGGGTTCCAAATAACACCCCATTAGGATATTTAGTGTTTCTAAATTTAAAAATTTTATCTAAATTGGATTGAATAAAATCAAATTTCCCGTTTTTACCCCTTTTGGTACTTTTTTACTCCCCATTAACGAAATAAAAATTCTATTCCAAAAAGTTGCAACATCGTAGTGGGAGCCCGTTATTATGTATTCATATGTATAAGTTAATAAACCAAAAACAATGTTTTATGAAAAAAGTACCAAAATAGGTACAATTTTAACCCCTTAAACGTCCGAATATCCAAAAAGTACTAAATTCATATTTTTATTTTTTCGTTAAGTTATGAAGGAGTCAAAAATATTTTTTGAATGTGCACTGGTTTAAAAGATACATGGGGTGCGAAAAAAGTACCAAAATACAGTTTTTACCCGTTTATTCCCTAAAGGGGCCGAATTTTAAAAAAGTACCAGACACCTGTCCGTTTATTTTTTAAATGAACGGCGATAAGCTTTAAACTGGTTTTGTATCTTTTCTAGTTTAGGAGATATAAGGTTACCGAATTTACCCGTTTTTACCCTTTTTTACCCCCTAAACATTCGAATTTCCAAAAATCCCGTCTTAGTGGATCTATTTGGCGGGAGACCAACCTCCTGTCCAAATTTCAGCTCTTTAGCTTCAACCGTTTAGGCTGTGCGATGATGAATCAGTCAGTCAGTCAGTCAGTAACGTTAGAATTTTATATATATAAGATAGGTAATATAAATATATCACAAGTCATAGAATTGAAAGCTTTATAAGTGGTATTATATACGTATTATATACATATTTATGCCGAAAATGTTTGCAGGGATATGTTAGGATATACCTTAGCACTTAGCTTTATTTTACACTTGGGAATATAGGAGAATCGAACATCCACATCACGCATAAATATATAATATACTTGGCAACTCTAGCAACAGTGTATACGTGCATTGAGAGGTAAACCATACTCACATACACACTACAATGTAGTACACATGTTTGTATGTACGTATAGCAGAAATTAAAAATAATAAACAAATAAAATAAGTCACGTATAAATACAATACATGCTGTATTAGTTACATTTAAGACATCGTTTAAGAAAGAGTGAAATTAATAAATTTTTTATATTTATTTAGTATCTTGCCACAGATTATATTCTCAATCAAATATTTTTATAAACATTAAAGCTGTAGCATGTAAACAAAAGACGACTTGTTGCATTTTGATTTGGTTTATTTTTAAACAAAAATGTAAATGACCTAAAAAATATCTACATTAAATATATGCGTACGGATACGAATTATACATATGTGTGCAGAACAACTATACAACTGCCTTTAAATTCACAATCGAAGTATTCATCAAGTAAAAAACACACAAAAATAAGTTGTAAATATGGATGTTTGGGGTGTATTTGTTGGAGACTCCACAATAACTTCAGGCGGTGTAATGCGTACAACGTATTATCGAGATTATGAACAATTTCCTTATGGTACATTGGAACAAAATTCTATGGCAAACTCAAAAGATCCATACAGTAAAGTCCAAGGTAATCAACTTATATGAATCCATAAAAACCTTATTGGGATAAAATGTGATAATGCGCAATTGATATATGTAAATATAAACCTATATACATATGTACATACATATGTATGTATGTGTAAAGATTCGTACTATGTGTGTAATATTGAGAATTTAAAAACATATCTGTTTTGACTTTTTCGAATATTAAATAATGTGTATAACCTTGTTAAAAATGTATTTTATTATATATTCACACATATGTACATTTTTATATTTTTATAATGAATAAAAATAAATAAATAAAACAAATATTTATAGGTCGATATTCATATATTTTAATATCTTCTAACGATCTATACATTTTAAATGCGTTTTAACTTATAGTTATTTTTATACATACATATGTATATAAAAAATGATAAGATTGGAAGTAATCTTATCGTTTTTAAATATATACTACGTACGTATGTTCTTTACCGATCTTGTTTAAGTTCTTGATTGAAATCATTGTTGAACAACCACATTTTATACAGTGAATCAACTAAGTTTTTTACCTACCTTTTTTAAAAGAATTTTGATTTTTGTTCATAGATAAAATTCGAAAAAACAGGTAAAAAGTAAATTTATGTTTTCCACTTAAAAATAGAAATAGTGTAAAATGGGAAAACCGTGAAAAAAATATTAAAATACAAATTGTGGGTCATTTGTTGTTGCATTTTATTATTATTCATCAGAATTTGCAGGTCAATAAAGTATTTGGCATTTTTAGAATTCCAGTTAATTTTATTGGGTTTTTCAAATTATTTTTTAATTTCTTTTTGGAAATTACTGTTTTATTGTTAAAAGGGCACTTTTAAAGTATTTTTCAATTGCAAAAATGATGCCCTAATTGTGTGAAACTGTGAATTTATTTGCGTTAAAAATGTTTAAAGGAAAATAATGAGGCAATTCCAATATAAAAAAAATTGTTTAGGTTTTTAAATGTCCCGAAGAATTATTAGAAAAAACGCACTGAGTGGTCTTTCAAAATCTTTAACTACCAAAGGGGAGCGGCTTGTATCCAAGGAAAACCACTGAACTTTTCATTTATCTTCTCCAAAGTCCATAAACGAACTAGAAAGAACTATATTTTTAAATTTGGACCTCTAAACAGACCTTAAGTTGCTTGGAACCAATATGAAGTGAACAAATAGTGGTGGTCATCATCACCTAAGGTCCACAAAAACAATATTTTTTAGCTAATACATACACTTATATTTATTTAGAACCCAAATCAAGAAAAACTATTCAGATCCAAATACGCCCAGCAAAAATTTTCATTACCTAGTAATCTAGAAAGTAATATTAGAATCACGTGGAAACTAATTACTTTTGGGGTGAATAACTAATTATTTTTGTTCGACGAGGTTCAAATAATATGAACCTACCTTAAACAAATTAATAAATGGTTACTAATTTGATTACAAAAACTTTGCGAAATAACTAGTTACAAATAAACCTACAAATATGTTATGTGATAGCTAGTTATTTTGGGCCGACTTTGTATGTAGAAAACAAAAAATAAAAAAAATTCTCGGCCGGGATTTGAACCCAGGCATTCAGTTGTTTTCTATGTTTCTCACTCCAGCCGCTTACTCGTTGCTCCATTAACATGTTGCTTTTTGTAATTTTGAGAACGGCATTTTACAAAAATATCCCAGCAAAAAAATTTTGAAGTTGTTAAAGAAGAAGGGATATTTTCATGATTTCTTTAGTAAGTATTCTATTTAATGCGTTTTAAATACATGCCTAAATTCTAATAAATTTGTCATCAGTGAAGGCATGAAAAATGCACCCAAATTCACTCATGTAACTCCACTATAGGAATTGTAATATTTTACTGTAATTTGGTATTCTCTTAGGAGATTTAACGAAAACGTGCATTTCATACAATAAAGATTAAAAATGACATTATTTTTTTTTTAGATTTTTGTTAAAATTAGTAATATTAAGTCCATTAATAAGAGAAGGAAAAAACCAAGACTGCTTAACGGATTTTAAAACACAATGGGTATTTTTCCTCTGCATGAATTTAAATCCAATTAAAATCAGTTAGTTATGTTTTATCTTATTCTATTTTTGTCAATATCACTCAAAAAAATTATTTAAATATTGATAATTAAATCGAAATACCATTAATGCATTTTTAAATAAATATAGTGCACCAATGAAAATTCGCTTGAGAATCATCGAATATTCATTGGTTATAAGAACTCATTTAAATGACGAACTATTTTTGCAAATACGAACCCATGCATGCCAATGACACGCTAATGTTAAAATCATGCATGTTTCCCCTAAATATGAACCAGTTCATTATCAGTTCAACCCATGCATTTACTACTTTTTTTGCACGTCTTTTTTTGCTGGGATATAAATGAATGTCATTTTGAAAAAAACACATCCAGCAGGGCTCGAACCACGAACCCCCTGTTTGTTAAATAAACGACCTAGACAATTGAGCCATAACAAATCCAAATTGTTTTGTTCTTTACCAGTAATAACCTATTCAGCTAAATGAAATAATGATGATAATGAACACTCATTACCAAGTAATGTATGAAATAACTAATGGCTATTACCAAAAATTTCAGATTTTTTGCTGGGCGCCTACGGTATTTTATTCATAAAATACCTAAAGCATTCAAAACATGGATAGAAAATCAAGATTTTAGCATGTAATAGTTCTATAGTGGTATACGGTGATGTTCCCATACTTAGAGTGGCTAGGATGGTACTTAGTGTTAGCTTTATTGAATAAGAATCAATATTATACAATTCTAAATAAAATTAACACAGTACTCCCCAAATGGATGGATTTTCCGTAATGTAGTTATTGTTTATCAATACAAAATGACCAAAAACCCAGATTATTTTGTTATAATATATACATAGTTTTATACCCCACTAAACATTGTTTCTAGGTCCAAATCCATTGATTTTCTAATATATTATGTATCTAATTCATAATTACTTATTATTTTCGAAATAAAATCAAAGAAACGATAAATTTCTTGTAAAGTCAAATATTGATAAAATCAGGGATGGAAATAGTATAATAAATAATAAAAAGGCAAAGAAAACAACAAAAATATAAACATATGTATATACAGTGGGACCTAGATTTTCCGTGAAGGTCGGGAACGGAAGCATTCTGTATAATTGATTTTCCCGGTTAATTGAGTGCCAATTTTGGCTGGTTTTTTTATAGATATTTATTAATAAATGAATATGTAAATATTTATATAAAAACTAAATAATTCAAGGATTTTATATTCATACATGTTTCGAAAATATAAAAAAAAAATTGTCAGAAAACGGTAAACAGTAGATAAGGATTTTATGTTATGTAATTTCTTATTTTTCAATTTTGTATTTTCGTTTCAAGGAAATTCCCTTTTTCGATTTGTTCTAATTGTTCGTAGTTGTTAAAAAATAATATTATTTTTCTTATAATCACGGATAATAGAGGTAATCACGGTTAAATGATGCAGAAAAATTTAAGTCAATCCAAAATAAAATTATTTTTCCATCCCGGATAATTGATGTTGCCGGTTAATCGAATCACGGATAATCAAGGTGCTACTGTAAATGAAGCTGCATGTTGTTGTTATTATACTCTACAACACTTTAGTGGTTTCATTGTATTTTGCTTTATAATGAGAAAAATTCGTATAAAGCAAATTTCTCGATAAAAATTATTAAAGATTTCATTAATATCAACAGACAGATAATCAGACGGACATATCTATCTTATTTGACTCCGTTATCTATAAGGACAACGGTGATCGATTATTCGACATTTTCAAAAACCGGCTTTCCTATAGTTGACATTTGAAAAAACCCGGTGACATTTTTCAAATTCAGAAAATTGGTATTATTGGTTGCCCATTTATTGTTTGTTGTTGGTTCATATCATTTTAATTGCGATTAATATGCATAGGTTTTTTAATCTAGTATTGACTGATTTATGATGGTAAATTTTTGTGAGATTGTTTGACAATTTTGGGAAATTTCTGTCAGCTTTGAAATGGAGGAATGTTGTGTGGTTTAAGTATGTTGTGATTGTTCAGTCAATATTGCTGATTTGGATGAATTTACTTTGTGACTGTTTTGGTGGAAGATGAATTGTGACTGATATTGTGTGCATAGAGTTTTGTGTTTGTGAGGGTTTTTCCTGCTATTATATTTTTGCTCTTATAGAATTGTCTTTTCATTTTGTTCTTTAAAGTTAGTCTTGAAAATTTTATTATGTAATTGACTGGTAATTTTGGTATTTAAATTCTTTTTCATGAGTCGATATTTATTGGGGTGGTTAAAAACTTTCTTCCAATTGTCTTATATTTCTTCAGAAACGTTCAACTGATAGGTATTTTATAGCTTCATGTTTCTGTCTGATATGTATTACCTATGTCCTTTACAGTCTGGAGTGTTATTTGCCATATAGTTGCTGTATGACATATTGATTGGTTCTGTGAGTTCATTTTTGGGATTGTTTATGACTTCTACATATTCTTTTCTTTATTTTAACCTGTTTTGCTTCTTTGAATTATATTTGATTGATTGCAAATTATGTAGGAATTTATTTATGATCAATGCAGAACAATTTAATTGTCCTATCGTTATTTTATATAGTTTATTATCTTTTTAAATAGTTTAGTTTTATTTTTTTTTTTTTTTGTATATAATTATGTATTTTATGTTGGAAGAATTATTGTAAAGTAGAAATTTGCAACCGCTTATGGCCTATAGGCTAGGTTATTGAATATTGTTCAATAAATAAATAAAATAAAAAACTGTAACCGAGTTTTTATCATTAATAAAAAATCTTTTTCAGAAGAGCAAAAATAATATTTATGTTTAAATTTGTTTAATAAAACATGGCGCGTAGTGATTTTTAATATTTTTATAATCAACTTATTGCTGGCTTAAAAAAGGGTCGAGTCTACAATAAAATTCTTAATTTGTCAATGGTTTATTGAGGGTATTTTAACCGTTATGTCAATACCCACATACCCGGGTATGTTTTTCATTTTTGAAGTGATATATCTCGAGATATATGGTATCGACTTGAAATTTGGGGTACTCTATCAGAGTAATGTTTTCTATAAATGTTCCAAAAATTAATTAGATATATATTTTTTAAACCGATTTATGACCGATTTTCTACTTTTACCTCGTACATCAATACCCAACATACCCGGGTATGCAAAATTTATATGTCAGTTATCGGACAAAAATTAGGTTTCATTATAAATTTTCAGTTTTATTATTTGAATTATATATATTTTTGTATATTATGAAAAAAAATTGAACTAAACAACAAATTTTGTTTAAAATAGAGAACAATGACATATTGTTCATAAATTTAAATGTGAAATATCTTTTGAACCCTGCAACATTTACAAATATGGACCAATTTTGATTAATTAAATTTTTTTCATTATATATGACTTAGTAAATTAAAATTATTCTTATTACAATAATTTTATTCTTATATTAACAAAAATATTTGAATTTGATTATTCAAATTTTAATTTTTGACCATCACTTAATAATCTTTTTTTGCAAATAAATTCCCTACTAACGAAAACAAAAACAATTTATTTAATGCTAAACGATTTTATATACCTCAATTAATAATACAGACAAAAATTTTTTCAATTATCTTACCCCGTCTAAGAGTAATAGCTTCTTCAAGTCAAAATTTTACAAAGTCAAATTCTGCATAATGTACATTATACATTATGTAGGGATTTTTCTTAAGATTTTTTGCATATGATATTTTTGTTAATAGGAAAACAATGAGAAAACTTTAAAAAAATTACTAAAATTTAATAGTATGTGACCAAAAACTATTTAATTTATTTGTACTGGCGTTTTATTAAATTAGTTTTAATAATTTATCTAAATTATACACTAAAAATGTATAAAAAGATGAAATAGCCATATAAATTGTATGACATACCCGGGTATGCTTGGCATTGATGTACGTAATTTTGCTCGGGTATAGACAAGACGGTTAAGCTATTTGACGTTTATGAATAAGATTTTCGTGAATTTTACTTAACATTGGTTACTAAACCTAAAAAAAGTTTTTTGAATACAGCCGTATAACTTTAGATCTTGTCGGCTGATATACACTATTTCTTAAATAGCCAACAAAAAATATTTGAAGTTGTTCAAAAAGATATATTTAGTACGTATGTATTTATTATGTTTTTAATAAAATTTTAGGTTTTTTGTTTTGGTGAACAGCTGTCTGTTTGTGATTTCAGTGTTACCACTTTATCGTTTTTATACCAAAATCGTTTGATTTTTTTGTTTATATGCTGAAATAAACAATTGGCAACACTAAACTTTCTTACAACATTCAAAAAACATATGAAAAATCGTCGTAGGAGTTGTATAGAGCTTTTGCATAGAAAATACCAACAACATTGTTATGACTATTGTAGCAACTGCTGACTTACTACGCTACAAAATCGATTGTGAATTGAACAATTGAATTGATCTATATACTTAATTTTATAACGTAAATTTTGCACCTTTTTAACTTTACCTTAAATGAGACCTCAAATAACCAAAATATTCAGAAAAATAGTGAATACTAACACTGTGTGACACTCGAAAACACTGATTACGCGATATAATGCTTTTTTTGACCTAGATGGGTAGATCATTTTACCATTTTTAGAATCTTCAATATACCCGGCACTCGTTTCATTATTTATAACGAGGTGATTCTGTGTTAACATACCGCGTTTATGGAATTCGGTTATTCCTTACCTGGAACGCAAATTTTCGTTTTTAAAAATATTTTTTTCAAAGTTTTTTAATTTTAGAAAATTATAGCAGTTTTCCCCTAAATATTTAAAAAAATTCTTAAAAATAATGTTTATATATGTTATATTTAAAAACAATTGCACATAATTGTAAAAATAATTCAAATTCAGCGCATTAAATGCATACCATAAGATTTATTTTCAAAAATTTCATTTCAGTATTTTTTTAACTTGTTGCTTATTGTTTTTGAAAAATCTCGAATTAGTAAAATTAAAAAAAAAAAAAAAACAGTTAATATCTGAATTCTACGTGCTTGATTTATAAGGGAATGCAATTAAAAAATTATAGTTTGAAGGAATTAAATATTTATAGAGTGATGGTTTTTGAAGCTAGGTACATTTTATTTGGCCCACAAAACCTACAATTATTTTACTTTTTTGATGCGCCCCAGTTTTACATTAAATTACATTTTGAGCATCATCCATGATGTGCCTTGCCAAAATGTGTTTAGATAAAAGTAACATCTTTATAGCTTCCAAGGACATTATTAACACATTTATGATCCCAAACCATTTTGATTGTCATTATCTGCATGTGTATTCATTAAATGTTTATATAAGTCGATGTTTGATTTATAAAACCGCAATAATAAAAAAATAAAATTTTGCAAATTTTTTGAAAAGTTCATAAAATTTTTGCATTCGAATATTTTTGAATGCTCCTCCGATTTTATATTTCAAAATAACAAAAAATCAATTTACGAAATAATTCAAATTATTTCCTATATAAGTGCGAATGTGCCGCGCCAAAAACTGATATTTAAAAAAATTTACGTTCAAGTTTTCCATTTTTTTTAGCTGTTGTACCCATCTCCTATTCAGGGCACATTAACGAGATATATACCATAATGTGTATAATTACATCAGCTAACCATTGTTGTCCCAATTTTGTATTTTATTATTATTTTATTATTTGTCAGCACCCGGTCAAGAAACTGTAAAAAAATCAAAATTGGAAAAAACCTGGTGACAAATTTCAACATCCAAGTTCTAATACGTAAAGTGATGTCACACGGATAAGCTTGTAAAGAATTTATCTCCTAAGTATCTTAGTTAGTAGAATAGCGAATAGTGTCCAAAAGCTTAAAGCTATGGACAAAACTTCCAAAAGCAATTACGTTTAGAAATGAAGACGTAGAGTTTTACAATTTTGCAATTATTTTGCGGCAAAAACTAAATTTTCTCACAAACTACACTAGAAATTGATGATTAGTATTATCTCAAATAAAAGGCATATATATATATATATATATATATATATATATATATATATATATATATATATATATGTATATATATATATATATATATATATATATATATATATATATATATATATATATATATATATATATATATATCTATATATATATATATATATATATATATATATATATCTATATATATATATATATATATATATAAAATATAAAATTTCAAGAAATGTAAAAAATTTCGAAAATTTATTTTAAATTTAGTTATAGTACTGTTTGGGAATTAATACTAGTACATAGACCCAATACGATCTATTGCAAAAAATAAAACAGAAATAGGAAAATAAAAAATGTTTTTTATTTCATTACCTTTTCTAAAATCTAATAGTTTTATTTTATGAAAAAAATTACAAAGAATATTCTTTCTGATGTTTTAATATGATAGGGTGCATTTTATCTAAACTTACGTTACAGTAAACTACGTACAATTCAAAACTGAATTTTAAATTTTTTAGATTTTGGGAACTTTTTGTGTTAAATGTATCTTTTTTTAGCATTATTTTACAAGTCCATCAATATACTTTGATATTTCAGTCACTTTTTAACCACCAAGAACGGGTCGAATTGCAAAACAGCGAAAAATTTCTAGAAATTAGGTGGATTGTCCTATCTATAAGTGGATTCAAAACTTTATCTTCTCGAAATCTTCTCAAAAAATAATTTTGTATATAATTTAACCATTAGAAGTCATATCTTTCACTATCTGAACTTTTTATTTAAGAAAACTTGAAAGTCGGGCTTCTGTTTCAGCTGTCAGGATCCATATGGTCAATCAAGCTTCGAAAAACAAATGTTTACATAAAAATTAAAGAAAAAACTATACGTTTATATTAAGAATTTAATTTATAATTAAGATTTTTAAATCTAAATATAAAACGCAGTTTAATAAATCTCAGCTTGTCTCCCCAGTGTGAATCGTTTCTGTTATTTTTGCAATGTCAAATTTATGAAATACCAATAAAATACGATGGAGCAAACTTAGAAGCTCCATATATCATAGCAAAGTAGACTTAAATACATTTTATTTAAGATTCAAATCATAAAATTCTAACGGGTAGTTTTTGAGAAAATTTAGTTTTCACCACAAAATAAAGTCGTATATATATATACACTCAAACCTCGTTTTATGCGATTAATTCGTGACAAAAAGTCGCAAATTTATTCAATTTTAGAAAAGGGTCAGATATATTTAAAAAAAATCATATTTGTTTAAGAAATATCGTTATCGGATGTGATTAAAATTTCAATCTCTTTACTTGCAGAAAAATCTCAAAAAGTACAAGCAGAAAAAACAAAGAAAAAGGAATGTCCATTTTGCAAGGAACATAAAAAGCGACCACTAATCAACTATTTAAGAAAACGAGAATCACGTAAGCACCACGAGAGCATTTGTGAAGATGAAGAAAACTGTGCTTAGTTGAACATACTTACATACATATGTATATTATTCAACTCACATTAATTTTTTAAGTTAACAAATTTATAATTTTTTATTGTAAGAGATTATAAAATATGTATGCTGATATTACATGTTATTAACAACACATTTTTTTGGTTTTAAAATTGTTATTTATCATATAATCCCAGAGCCAATGTAAAAATTAACATTTTACAAATATTATTATTAATTTTTATAAAATTAAATTCTTCTTTGATGTTATTCAGCCTATTTTAGGTAATAATTTTAAGAGATTATTGATATGTGAAAATTATTAAACTTTACATAAAATTTACAATTCAAAAAGGCAATTTGTTTCAAAATGTATCAATAAAAAATAAGTCGAACTTATATCCAGTTGTTTCTTAACTTTGCTTAATATATATTAGAGTGGTTCGAAAAAAACCTTTTTTGGTCGGATCAACTTCAAATATATTTTACTATAGTAAAATGATGTTGCACGAAGAAATAGAGAAAACAACTTTTATGTGAACACTATTATTAACCTATATACATTAGGGTATCCCGTAGCCCACTTTTATGTATGACTACCTCTCAAACGATGCGTTTTTATGTACTACATACTAGAAAAATAAAAAAACTATTTTTTTAAAAGGTCCTCAGTTCCCTACCTGCGATTGAAAATCTTAATCTCAGTACAATATGTTCAAACAAATTTTTCAATTTTGAGCTTGTCGCGGGAAAAATAATTATTATTTTTGTTAGTGTATTTCAAAAAATTCTGAAATCGACTAAAATAAGTGTAAAACTATTTTTTTAATATTTTTCTGTATGGGCTAAATATTACGACAATTTTGACACCCATTTCGATAAAAAGCGAAAACAATACGACTCTTCATCCCACTAAAAATCATTTTCTGTGACAAAAATATTCTACAAAAATTTTAAAATTATTTTTCCCTTAATCAGCTTAAAATTGCAGAATTTTTGATACTAATTTCGAAAAAAAAAATGGAAAATAATTTATTTTTCAAAAATCATACTGAGGTCAGTATTTTCAATCGCTGGTAGGGAACTGAGGACCATTCCCAAAAAAATATTTTTTATTTACCTCGTGTTCAGTACATTAATACGCATCGATTGAGTGGTATTCCTACATGATATTCTTAAAAATGCTGTTCCTCGTTAGACTCTAATGTATGTACATGGGGAATTTCGTGTCAAGTGAACCAATTTTTAACATCGATGTCCACATAAATTTTCTATTTTTCTATCGGTCAAGAACTGCCGGAGTCAGAGGGGGTCAAGTTGGACATTTTGGTCATACAGGGTTTTATTAAAATGACTTTATCGTTTCTTCATCGTTTCCAAATATTTTTTTTAATTGTAAAAAAATATTATTTTTTTAATTATTTTCTTTTTAAATTATTTTTTATATACATATATATTTGTTGGACCAGTAGCTGTAGATTCGCTTTGAACTTCTTTACTTGCACTGGACTTTCGTACCCATTGTCTAGCTTCACTCGATAATGCAGACGACCAAACTTGGCTTTTATGGTCCCAAATTTCCTTTATCATACCATCGCAACTGTACCCTCTCTCCCACACTAATTTGACGAACAAGTGGAGTTACTAATATTGATTTTGCTTGCTTTACTGGACGTGTTGCATCTAATTTTATTATTAATTCACGATTCAGATATAGTTTTGATGGACTTTCTCCTATGCTAGCGGGGTTGCTCTATATGGAAAAAGCATTTGTTGCACTTTAACATTTAAGGGTAATTTGACATCTTCCATCGCCTTTAATTTTGATTTAAGTATCTGGACGTAACGCTCAGCTAAACCATTTGTTGCAGGATGGCCTGGGGCTATACATTTTTCAACAATTCCATTATCGAAGTAAAAATTTCTATACAACGAACTTTGAAAAATGGTAGCATTGTCTGAGACAATAGTTTGAGGAAGGCCATGGGTGATAAAAATATCGCTCAATCTATGCCTTTCCATAAATAATACTTCCTGGTTAATTGCTTCATCTTTACAATACCGACGTGTGTGTGATGTAGTTCTTTCAAAATTTCGTCCCGTAATTGTAACGGAATCATCGGCATCGTTGTTTTCACCATTTACTAAATCTTGCTTTAATTTTGACAATTCGAAATCACATTGTTTCTTTGGCAATGTTCGCAGCAGTGATAGCAAATGTAGAAATTTCATGATGAGTACTTCTTCATTTAGAAAATGTTCAAAATTAGGTTTTAGCTTAATTGGTGCTCTAGATAAGCAATCAGCGTTGGTGTTGTCTTCAGTCTTACGGTGTTTTATTTTGTAGTTGAAACCTTAAAGAAACGATGCATACCGAAAAGGCCTTGCAGATGTCATTGTAGGTGTTTTTGAATTTTTATGAAAAATTCTTGAAAGTGGGCGATTATCAGTTATAAGGGTAAATTCTCTACCATGAAGATACATACTCTGTTAGAATTTTTTTTTACCTATTGAACGATTAATCACACTTGACGGTCCATACAAATATTTTGTTTTTCTATAACAGTTCGAGATTATAAGAAGAAGCAGAATGGAATGCATTTTCGGGCCCGCTACGGCTCCTCATCAGGAATTTTCTTGTGCCATATGTTATGTCACTTGTAAACATCATCTATTTAACTCACAAGTTTTGAAGAAATGGAATATGGTAATTGTAACGAAGTCCTTATTCCAATTTCATTCTACTTTATTGAGTTAGATCGAAGTTTACGAGCTTTTTTCAGTGTTGTATTCTTATCTATCATTACTCTTTGTCGCTGATTTAGCCAACTGTCTATTACTTTTTAAAAAAAAATTTGGAAACGATGAAGAAATAGTTATCTGAACTTCTTTGGACAATTAATGCTAGGACCAATAGGTGAAAAAATACACTCACCATGACCATAATATCCAACTTTGACCCTCTCTAAGTCCGGCAGTTCTTGACCGATAGAGCTGAAAATTTGTGTCTGACCTACTATCCAATAATACTATCCATGATGCAAATTTCGTCAAAATAGATTTTTTGAGTTGAGTCACTTGGTATGAAATTACCCATACAGATAGATATACATATAGCGTCTCACATAAATATTCGAATTTAGTATTTTTTATGAATTACTTTTGTTTGATTAACCTTTTTTATTATTTTTATGCTGATACTCTTGTATCTTAACTTTTATAAATTTAATTAATAATTAGATATTCGCCAGGATCTAAGCTTTAGTCACCTTTTTAACTCTTTTGTGTGTTTTTCGGAGTTATTAGCTTAGATTCTAAAGATTAAAATGATAAGGGTTCAATTCGATCGATCCGGATTTGGTAAAATATACAAAAGAGGCACTAACACTTTACTTTTCTTCTTTTTTTCCTTAATAAATAACGTGAGCAGACATCCCGGGAAAAGCGGGATTATCCCGTTTTATAAAGGTTGATCCCGACTAAGATTTCAATCCCGCTTTTTTACATAACAGGTCAATCATACTTAATTTTATTGTAATAAAATTTAAATTTAGAAATTTTGGCAGAAAATAGGGATTCAAAAGAGATATTAGCAGCATTTTTTAAACAATTTTATTTATTAAATCCAAATTTTAGTTCTAGCACTGTACGCCAGGTGGATAAGGCAAAAGGTTTTAATCGAGGCTAAACAAATTTCAAACCATAATGTCAGCAGCGGCCAACAGATGGAGTTATTTCAAAACTTAATATTTAAATCATAAATTTTCCATAAAATTTGTAACAATTTGTTGCAAAAATTGGTATTTTCTCTGAAATATCATGTGTGAAATATTTCAGTTACATGAATTTTGTTGATTTTTCTATTTTTACACATTTTAAAAAATATTTGCCATCTATTGGTGAACAGAAAAATAAAACAAATTAATTTATTTTAAAATTATTTTGGTTTTGTTCTATGAATACAAAGCATTGCCATATTGAAATTAGCTAAATCCAACTATTTTTTTGGATTTAATAAATCCAAATTAGATTTACTTCTTTTAGCTGCATAACCGTCATTTTTACACCAAAAAACTAAATTTCAGCCTCCAAAGATAGTTCTTTTCTTGAAATAAAATAAATCCAAAATAAATCCGATGATTAAAAAAGCCAATATTATAGTATTTTTTAATAACTTTTCAAAATGTAGGTAAATATAGACATACATTTTCAAATAAAAAGGTTTTAGTTCAATTTGTAAAGTAAATGTTCTAAAAAAATAATATTTTAAGTGTCAAGTGAAAATTAACTTTTTGGACCCGTCACTTTTAACATATAAAGATGTGCTTTTTTGCCGAATGAGTTACAAGAAAGATATCAATCCAATTTTATGGCCAGTCCCCGGTCTAACATAGAATTTAATTTATCCTGAGGCCAAATACTCTGATTGACCGTCAGTGTATTATTTATATAGATTTTTTAATAACACAGGCCAACAAAAATTTTAAAAAGTCGAAAGGAAGGATATCTACCTAAAATTCTGGCATTATAATTATACCCTCCACCACCATCAGTGGCGATAGAGGGTATACTATATAACTTTGTCATTCCGTGTGTAACACCAAGAAATATTTATCTGAGATCCTTATGAGTCGATTTAGCTATGTCCGTCTGTCCGTCCATCAGTCCGTCTGTCTGTATAAAACACGCTCACGATAAAACGAAGCAATAGAAATTCAAGAAATTCACCCGAAACATTCTTTATTATCCGGTACAGTTTGGTATTGAAAATCGTTAAAATCGGTTCACGACTTAAAAAATTATGAGTAAAAATTTCAGACTACCTCGAAAAAATAACGTTTTTTCCCAATTCTTAAGTAGTTTTCTCAGAAACTACCAAAGATATTTCGATGAATTTTGTCACACATTATTTTTTAAGCCAGGGATGAAGTATGTTCAAACTCATAACAATTGATCCAATATTTCCCATAGCCCCCATACAAATGTGTATATTAACAAAAAATTTTGTACATAGAACTATAATATGAATAGAAATCATACTACCAACGTTGATCTCAGTCGGTCCAAAATTGATCATAGCTCCCATATAAGGTCCATTTTCAAAAATCATCTAATAACTACATATTTCATTGATAAGTAAAGCTTTTGTTATAAAATTCGAGCTGAATATGTTTTGTGTATATACAAATCATTCTACCAAATTTCTTTTCGGATCGGTCCACTATTAGTCATAGCTCCCATATAAGGCCCACTTCCGAAAATCACTTTAACGCACATATTTAGTTGTCAAATAAAGGTATCTTGATAAAGTTCGACACAAATATGTTTCGTCTATATATGAATCACACTACGAAATTTTTTTCGGATACGACCATAATCCACATAAGGAATCACTTAAA